TGAATGAATGAATGAATGAATGAATGAATGAATGAACTCCTTCATCCGAGTGAGGGATGAGCCCCTGCCCCAGGAGGAGCTGCCCTGCACTCAGGGCCAGCAGTGAGCTGACACAGCAGGGACAGGATTGTCATTCCTGTGTCACTCCTGTGACTCCCCAGGGCTGCTCCCACCTGGTCTGGGGCCACAGAGGGCGAGGGGGAGTCACTGAGCCTGGGAATGCCCCAGACAGGGATCCAGGGCACCCTCAGCACTGAGAATCCCAAAATCCCAGAGTTCCTGAGGCTGGAAAATCCCTCCCAGCCCATCCAGTCCAAGCTGTGCCTGATCCCCTCCTTGTCCCCAGCCCAGAGCTCTGAGTGCCACATCCAGGTGACACCTCCAGGGATGGGCACTGCAAAGCTCCCTGGGCAGCCCCTGCCAAGGCCTGAGCTCCCTTTCCATGGAGAAATTGCTGCTGGATGTCACAGGACACAGGGGTGTCCCCAGCTGCCAGCCTGAGAGCCCCCAGGGACCCCCGGGGAACCCATGGGGGGCTCTGCAGGCAGATTTGGGGGGAATTGCAGTGCAGGCACTGTGAGGCCACAGATGTGCCTGGTTTAGTCCAGGAGAGCAGAGGGAAAACCCCTGGATCTGAGATCCATGGAGCTGCTGGAAAGGTGGTCCTGCCTTGCTCTGGAGCACCCCTGGCCACTGCAAGGGCAGCTCAGCTCCTCATTCCTGCAGGAATGGTTATTTATTTATTCCTTCCCTGCAGGAATGGTTATTTCCTCCTTTCCCACAGGAATTTTTATTTCCTCATTTCCTACAGGAATTTTTATTTCCTCATTCCCTACAGGAATTTTTATTTCCTCATTCCCTACAGGAATGTTTATTTATTCCTCCCCTGCAGAAATGTTTATTTCCTCATTTCCTACAGGAATTTTTATTTCCTCATTCCCTATAGGAACATTTATCTCCTCACTCCCAGCTCAGCCAAGCAGAGCCTGCCCCTCTCTGCTCCCCTTGGATGGATCCCTGAGCAAAGGAGAGTGGAAGTCACCAGCCAGGGTGAGTCCTGCTCCCTGGCAGAGCCAACCCACACCACAATTTACCCACGAAAGCCAATCCCAAACTCAGCTCCCAGGGGCTCTGGCAGCTGAGCTGGCTGAGGTGAGAGCCTGGGGCACCCTGAGAGGTGACACAACAGGGCAGGATCACCCCTGGCACACCAAACCTGAGCCTCTCCCAGCTCAGGAGGCCAATTCCAGTTAAACTCCAGTTAAATTCCAGTTAAATTCCAGTTAAAAACCTCCCCAGGCATTTCCTCAGTCACACGGAACAAGAGCAGCTCAGTCAATAAAAACCTGTTTTTGGAGAGAGCTCAGCAATTGTGCAGAGGATCCTCCCCCAGGAGAGCAGAGACGCTGCAATTCCATCCCAGCACCCCCCCGGCCTGAGCTCCCTGTACCTTTTGGTCGGTGTGGGTGCTCCAGAGGACACGTGGGTCACCATGGCCTCACTCATGTTACTCACGGGCCTGGGGGGGCTGCAAGACACAGGGATGCAGTTAGAGAGCACAAAAATAACCCAGAAC